CCCCAGCGTTGTCTTAATCCATCAGGTGTTCTCGCTGCAAAGGACTCAAGTTTTTGCATTGCATTTTGGTGGACTGCTGACCAAAACAGCGTTAGACTTTGGTCAGTCCCCTTAATCGGATCTTCTGATGTTTTCATCCAAGAAAGACACAGTTGCTTGGTTTCGGCGGCCGTAAAACTTTTACCACGTTTTCCTTGAGAACTCTGAGTCATGATCTATTGTATAAGATGGACGAAAATAATAATTGGATATCACTTTTGGCGATCCAAGTAATCCACAATTAGCATAGCAATCGATTTTTGTTATAGCAATAAAAAAAGTTCATTCCACTACTTCCACTAGTTTATAAATAGGCCCTAAGATGTGATTTGATAACCATCTTGTCATAATCATGACATTTCGACCATATGGAACAACAATCCGGAATATCTAAAGCTATTTCTAAAGTGGCTATGAGAGATGGTTTGGCCATGTGGAACCTTGATCCAGAATATCCAGAATCGGTTTTACTGTGCCCATTGTCCATGATTGTCGTTTTGAGAGCCATTTGGTAATATTTCGTCGAGTATATGTGATTTGATATGCTGCTTGATATGGTTATGAGATATGTCATTTGACCATGTTGACCATAAACCGGTACATCCAGAACCACACCAAATTTCGTAAATTGTATCGGTAATTTTTTTTTGCTGAATTCATCCTGTAAAATATAATTTTTACCGATAGTTTTGTGAAATGTATTGTTTTACCATCTTTCCGCAATTAAAATTTACAGAAAATTACCGAAAACTGTAAACAAATATTGCTGATCGAAACTGTAAATGGCTTAAATTTTACAATACTGTAAATATAGCCTTTTACCAAAATAAATGGTAGTGAAGTGCCAGAGAAAAGTAAGTACTTATGTTTTTTTGCTATGATCTATGTAATCTATAAAGAACGGATCTTTATTTTGCATTCAATCCTAGGCCAATCACTTTTACTCACCACCCGAGCAAAGTCGGTTAACAAATTGAAAGCAAATCGATATTAAAGTTTGCAGTAACTATCATAATGAAAACTCATTTTGATTTCAATTGTGGCGACATAAGTCTGATATCATATTGTGCTTTCATTATGCAGTCAAAACTTTTTAAATGAAAGCAACTTAACTTGAAGTTTTGCTGTTAACATCTTGTTTAAAATTTAATTTAAGTTCATCTGTCGTTGAACTAATGATTATTGTTTATTTGTTTTGTTTAACACATTTTAGGTCCTTCATGACTTGCCCGGGGTAAGATTTGAGCTCAACTCTTTCAGCGTGAGAAGCATGGATACTAACCATTTACGCCATGCCCGTATTCAGTTAAACATTATGAATGCAAAATCAGTAATCAAATTGATTTCATTGAAAGCAAGATTAGTTTTCCGTTTGATTCAACAGTGTAAAATTTTGCTCTCATTTTTGCTGTGTTAACCGTTAAGTCAACCAAAATGAGATCAACTGGAGTATTCAAAATAATTTACATCATAACAGCAAATTTTGATTTCAATTTGATCTCCAGCTTTGCTCGGGCGGTCATCATGGACGATAAGCAACCGAAAGTCTACCATGAAACTACCATGAAAAAACAACCAATATTTGCGCAGTTTTTAATGATCCTCCTTCATATACCAGTTTGGCACCGATAACTTTATCCATGTTCGAGGTCTCTGTTAAACGCACTATGTATACATACGTATAAAAATAAAAGTATGTATGAGTCATAAAAACCGTTTGCATTGTTTTTATCATCAAATTTAAAGAAAACACACAAATGTACTGTAAAACAAAAAATTACCGAACCGATTACCGAATGTTCTGCTGTTCCGAATTCGGTAAAAAAAATCTTAGTGGTATAGCACTGTGGATGTCGTTTTGCATACCATTTATCATATTTCGTCAACTAGATTTACCATTACCATATTTTACCATAGATACTATAGATTTACCATAATCCGGAATATCCAGAACCGGTTTTATGGTGATCTTATGGCTTTATGGTTGTCGTTTTGAATACCATTGGTCATATTTCATCGAATAGATGTGATTTGATATGTCGCTTGATATGGTTATGGTAGATAATAATTTTGATCATATGGATCCATAATCCGGAACATCCGGAACCGATTTCAAGGTAAACATGGGGTCTTATGATTGTTCTCTATAATTTTCGAGAGTTTCACAAAACAAATCAATATGTTGTCACAATAAGTAAGATATATGATAAAGATTGAAAAAACACCCCCGTGTAAACACATTCTTAATATATAACGAGGGAGGGGTCTTCGAGAGAGTACCACTCAATAGATGTAAGAACCACTCACCGGAATGTTGTTAAAAAGTTTCATAATAAATAAATATATAAATAAATAAAAAGTTTGTCCCGGGCTTTACGGGTTAACAGAAGATTCTCAAAGCAGTTTAAACAAAAAAAAAACGCTCTAGAAACGAAGAATGAATTTTGGTGCTGGAAGCGTAGGATCCGGAGACACTGGAAGCGGTGCGGCTACATATGGATCAAGAGGTTCTTAGGATCCTAGAATGATTTGTGTGACCAGCGGAAGCAATGTAAGCTCTGGCGATCGAAAAGCTGAAGGGCCGAGAGAATTATGTACCATGAGCGTTCGACATGGAAATGACGTTCATCAGGAAGGGTTTCTGGTCGGCTGTGATTTTTTGTGAGAAGTCGTGGATGAAGACTTCCAAATTAGGGCACTATCCACGATCTGCCTAAGTCTCGAGAGGACGATCTACAGTCTGGTGATGGATGCAAAGAACGCATAAGATGCCTAGAATATGCTAAAAACCGTATTTCAAGATGACGGATTTTATTGTCGACAGTTTACTTCGATTAAACTTGAGAATTTCGTATTTCGTAGAAACGTATGTGGATGCACTGGTTTCTACAAGTCACAAACTTGCGGACATAAATTTGCCAGTACCTGACGAGTGGATCGCTTCGTTACTTTGGATGGGATTGCCGAAGTATTACGCGCCAGTATTACGTGAACCAGCGCGGTTTCTAGGAATCGAGGATTAGGGGGTAGAGTTGTCGATCAAATAATCTACAATTAGAATAACAAGCGATGTTTGTTACAGCAATAAATAAAATGCTACTTACCGACAAACCTTTAAGACCAATTCACTTTAACGAAATGGAATGAAATGAAAACGTTTTCGGCTGTTCGCCTACCATCAATATCATGGATAACAGGTCCGGCGATAAAAATCTGTTGCCTCTTTCATTTTTTCGCCGTTCTTTTGCAACGATGAGTTTGCGTCAAACTGTACGTTACATGAGAGTAGCGGGAGAAAGAAAGAGGTGACAAATTCACATTGCAGAACCTGTTCTCCATGGCATTGACCTACCATCTGTCAACAGTAAGAAGCGCACACATATACAACCACAGAAATTTGAAACACAGCTCGTTTCGTGGTTCAAAACCGCACAGAAATAAAACAGAGTTGTCGAGCAGTTGCAAATCTGATGCAAAAAAGTGCTCGAAAAATGAAACTACAACTCGGCATTGAGAAGGGTGCGTTTTTGTTTTTGTTTTTAAAAAACACAGCCCATATAAAAAACACTGCATTGCGAACGGCCTAATTCTTAATTTATTTTCAGTGTGGCAACCAGGGTAGACCTACCGATTTTCGGGGTGCCTACCGATTAACAGACGAAAGGTTAAAAACTACCGATTTTTCACTTTTCCTACCGAGAATCACAGATTTTTAGATTATAAATAGAAAAATTGATTTCGACACGTTTAAAGTAGAAGGTCTGAAGGACAGTGTATTGTTCTGGAGCACAGAGTCATCCCCCCCCCCCCCCGCTCACAAAAGTTTCAAGTATCGGGAAAGCCTTATTAAGTCGAACTACCGATAACTACCGATAAAGGTTTTGAGAAGCTACCGATAATGAAAAAAAAATAATCTGGCCACTCTGGTGGCAACACCTTTACTTGTGGTTCAAACAGTAACTACCTACGTGACTTCTGAGCTCTTTTGAATAGTTTTGAATGTTTGGCTCCCGTTTGACAGTTTGACTCGGCTCCCAGATGACAAGCATTTTGAGTTAGTTCGCAGTACACAGGTTTTTACGATTTTTCCTTGGTTTTTTTCCCGCGGGATGTTTTTTTACATCGATGATCCCCTCGAAACGTAGATCGCCTTCTTTTTTTCAGTAGACCTGCTCGAGTGTCAAACGTCAAACTCGCATCACAAAAGAAAACAAAAACTTTTTGTCTGTTTGTCAGCGTTGCCAGAACTACCGATAAATCAGTATTAGCTCCCGATAAATTATTGGTGAGAGAAGGGAGATTTTTTGCTTATTTTTTTCATGCACGTATTTGCGAAACACCGTTGGAGTCGAGGTTGGAGCAAAGGTAGTCTCCCGGCTCAGAGACAGTTATCAACACCAATTGAGTATAAAATACCGATATTCTGTTTTTTCATACCGATAAATACTGATATTCTGATCAGAGCAATTTTTTCACTATCGTTTATCACAGTTTTTGTTTGCGAGTTTTGGATTTATTCTTTGAAGTTAGTTAGTTTAGTTTTCTTTATTAAAGAGGCTTTCAGCCCTTGGCTAGTAAAAAATAAATACCATACCCGAAAGATAACCGAAATGATTGAACTATTCCACAAACGGTTCGGATGACACCCTGAACACGTCGTTAAACAAAATAACCATAAAAATTTTATTACGGTAGTTTTTCCGGGTGTTAGAAAGCAGTGAAAAAGGTATACAAACAGCCATAATATGTAATAAGTCCATAATGAATGTATTGAATGTATTGAATAATAAATGTATTGCGCCCTCCTAACATTCATACACCACCCTGATATCTATGCAACGCTCTCAAACACCGCCAGTCAATTTTAGTAAACAATTCGAAATACCGATTTTTGTGAACGGATCATATCGATATTCGAAAAGTAGTTCTGGCAACTCTGCTGTTTGTGCTGGTAGCGTCGAAAGTGGAAGGAAAATCGATTGAGCTAGCTAAAAAATGATTTTTTGTATGTAACTTTTACTAAAAATCAACGAGTTTTATCGTACAAATGTTCGTCAAGTGTTGAACTTTGTTTTAAAATCGGTTGCCGTTCGTAATCAAGGGTAAATTTCCTTAAAAATTGATCCAATTTGTTGTCGCACAGTTTGAGGTTAGGATTTATTAAAGCTTTTTGTTGTGCTACTTTTCAGTCTTTCAGTCCGGTTCGTTGATCTGTTGTCGGTAGCAGGAAAATAAAAATGGAGAACGATTCTGAATCCGCGGAAGCCGGTTCCGCCGGTGATGAAAAGCCGTCAGTAAAAGCAGATGTAATCTCGTCAGACGATGAAGCCGGACAGGAGGAGGTGCCAAGCGAAAAAGTTGTAGAGGAGAAACCGGTGGAACCATCTGATGAAATACAGAAAGGTTCAGTGGGAACTCCCATCAATCGGGATGCAGAAACAGCGGTTAGCGTTGTGAGCGAGATCGGCGATATAGAGCGAAAGGATGCCGAAGAGGAGAAACAAGTCCAGGAAGTAGTATCAACTCAGAAACAGAAGGCGGCAGAAGTTATTTCGATCGATGATGATGGCGATGAGCATCCGGCTTCTGAGAAAGGCGACCAAGTTGCGGAAAGGGAATCAAAAGTGGCAGCTACAATCGATATCATCACGTCAGACGATGAAGCCGGACAGGAGGATGTGCCAAGCGAAAAGGTTGTAAAGGAGAAATCGGTGGAACTGTCTGATGAAGTACAGAAAGTTTCAGTGGATATTTCCATCAATAAAGATGTAGTAACGGCGGTTAGCGTTGTGAGCAAGATTAGAGATGACGAGCGAAAGGACACCGAAGAGGAAAAGAAAGTCGACGAAGTAGTATCAACTCAGAAACAGAAGAAGGCACCAGAAGTTATTTCGATCGATGAAGATGACGATGAGCATCCGGCTTCTGAGAAAGTTGAGCAAGCTGCTGAAGGTGAATCAAAAGTGGCAGAAACGGATAATAAAGATGATCGGGTTGATACATCGGACATGGAAGTGGAAGCCACGGCAAATAAGAAAACTAAGGAGAAAAGTATCGGAACAGAAGAAGCTACAGGTACCGAAAGATCACAATCAGAAGTAGTTGGTACTGAAGCTGAGGTTGATATGAAGGTGGAAAAAGATAGTGAAGTAAAAGAAAAAGTCTTGCCCGAGACTAAGAAGGCTCCAGAAGTTATTTCCATTGATGACGATGAAGATGAGCAGCCGGCTTCTGAGAAGAATAGCAACATCCAAAATGATGATTCTGAAGTTAAGAAAGCAGAAAAGGACATAGATGCGCCGATGGATATTGCCGAAGGCAAAAAAGACGAAGAACCATTGGAAAGTGTGGATTCAGATAAGGAAAAACCAGAAGAGAAATCCAAGGATGACGTTATAGCGGAAACGTCCACATCAGGAGAAGTTGTTGAAACAGCAGTGGTAGAAAAGGAAGGAGCTGTTGCGGAACAAGGATCTAATGACAAAGAAAAGGCCAATGAAAATCAAGACGCCGGCAGCAAGAAGAAAGATGACACTGATGACGATATCATACTAATTGATGACGAAAAGGAAACTACGGAAGATGTAGAGTCCAAGGAGCAGCTAAACTCTGAACAAGAGAAAAGTTCGGGCAAGGAAGAAGCAGTGCAGAAGAAATTGGGACTGAGTACCGAGGAAAAGGAGGAATCTCAATTGGCAACCGGCGATTCTGAAGAATCTAAGAATGAACAGAAAGAGACAACGGAAACGCATGCTAGTCCAATTGAAGCTAAGGAAGAGAAATCTATAGATCCTGCGGAAGAAAAACCCACAGCAGACCCAAATGTAAAGGAAGACGACGACGTTGTAATGATCGACTGTGAATCGAAATCCTCGAAAACTACACGACGTGACGAGAAAATGCCAGAAGAAATAGCCGTCAAGCCGACAAAGGAAGATAATGAAAATGTAATGGTAATAGACTCCGATGAACTTCCAAAGGAGACAACAACTGATAAAATGAAAACGGATGAAAAAGATGCAACTGACAAGGACAAAAGTGGGGCACCTGATAGCGATGATGTTATGGTAGTGGAATCACAAGAATCGATCGCTACAGGCGATTCAAAAACTGATGTGAAAGAAGATAAAAAGGTTGAGTCCTCGAAAAAAGATGTGGTGGAAATTGTGGAAGAAGAGAAAGCAATCAAACCCGTAATAGCGGAAGATACCGCAGCTAAACCGATTGACAAAGATTCTAAAGTCTCTGCGGACTCAAAAGAATCGAAGGCCGAGAACGAACCGGAGAAGAGCCCACCGACAAAGAGATTCGTATTGGATGAAAAATCGGGCATGTTTGAAGAGAAGGAAACTCAACCGGAAGAATCCGTCCCGCAGGTCTTCGGTGATTCTGATGAAGACGTGGTAATGGTAGACAACTATGTCACCACGGACCGTAAATCGGCAGCCAAACCGGCAGCTCTATCTCTGAAACCGCAAGCTGTGGTGAAGCAACCCGAACTGCAATCGACGACGCAGAAAAAGGAAGTCACCAAAGAGCATACCAAATCGTCATCGTCGTCGTCCACCGTCGAATGTATCAATATGGAGTGTAAAAAGGAAGCAAAGGAAACGGCCCCCGCACCAGGGTTTGTGTTGAACTTTTTCGGAATTCCTAAAAAGTCTAAGAAGCAACGAATTTGCGTAAACTGCTACGACGAGGTTGTGCAGAAGTACTCGGTGGGTAAATGTTTAATTAGGTTTTGATTGTTTCACTACTAGAGGATGGTTGTCACATTTAAGGTACTGGGTGGAGCCGTGCTGGATCAGCAACCGTTGTTGTTCTGCGAGATGCCACGGAAGAATGAACTGGTTGAAATTTCCGACAGCAGTGAAGAGGAGGAGGATGAAGATGTTAAGCAGGAATCAGGTATTAAAGACTAATCTACTGAAAATAGTTGGTATTTCAGCGGAGGGTTTGTACAATTTCTATTTGTTTGCAGAAAAACCATTGTCATCGGATATTATTTCGCTTGTGGAGTCTGAACTCAATGACATTCTTACCAGCACCTTTGAGAAGATAAATATCAATCAACAGATCGACTGGACGGAACAAATCATGCAACAGAAGATAGCATACAATTCAAGTTAGTATTCATCCTTACAAAGTTTATTGCTCAGTTTAATCCTCTACTGCATAATCTAGGATCATGAAGATTTTCATAATTCACAAATATCGAAAATATAGTCTAAGACAAATAACAAAATATTAGTCTAAGACTATAAATAAATGTTGTAACCAATTTTGGAAATTTTCTTAAATCCCAAATTAATTGAACACTTTTGCTTCTTGCTGAATATGAGCAACGGGGAAATTTGGAAGACTTGCTACAGGGGGAAAAACCCGGGAATTTCAGTATAAAAATTCACAGGTCACCCTGAATAAATTAGCCCTTTTCTTGCAGAACTGTCGGACGAGATCAACAACGAGCTGAACGAATTGCAGCGAAAGGTGGACCGGATCCATTTGCAGCTGTACTCCAAATCACGTCCCAGGTATCAAGATCTGCCACCATGTAACATCTTTGAAGTGGATCCACAGAGCCGGCAAGGTTTGGTGCAACAAACGACTGCAGCCAGCCGTCAGTATACTGCTCAGAGACCTATGGTTCAACAGCAGATGCAGCAACAACAGAGACAGATAACGGTTGCAATTCAAGCTGCACCTTCGCCTTCGGGTCCAGCCGCACCGAAGAAGGAAGATTTCTCCCGTCCTTCGGTCAACGTTGGACAGTTCTACTTCGCTGTGAAACACAAGCTTCTCAGCAACTGGGCCGAGTGTCAGGTTGTTGAAGCTGTTAGCGTAGCTGATGTGAGTAATGCATACGACTCATTCCTCTATGTGTTGATACTAACAAAGTTCTTTTTATTTTTCAGAAAGCACTCTACAAGGTCAACTTTCTCTACAATCAAGGAGCTGGCGCGGCTCCGATCAAGGTGGTTCCGGCCAAGTACCTTGCCTACCGGCACTCGTTCAACGTAAAACTCCCACTGGGAACACGCGTCATTGCCCGATTCGATGCAGGAACTACACAGCCGGCTGCGAAAACGTCGCAACAAATTAAAAACAGTTCCTTCTATCCGGGAATCATTGCCGAATCGTTCGGCAAGTACAATCGAAATCGATACCTAATCTTCTTCGACGACGGCTATGCTCAGTATGTGACCCACGGTGATGTGCGGGTCGTTTGCGAGGAATCAAAGGAAGTGTGGTCGGATATCCATCCGCATTCGCAGGAATTTATCAAAAATTATCTGATGAACTACCGCTCGCAACGGCCCATGGTTCAGGTGAAGGTCGGCCAGCGAATAATCACGGAATGGAAGGGCAAATGGATTTACGCCAAGGTCATCGACATCGATGCCAGTTTGGTGCAGCTACACTTTGCGGATGACAACAGGTACGAATGGATCTACCGTGGCTCGACTCGCCTGGGGCCACTATACCAGGAAAAGGCTCTTAGCATGAGCAAAGCGAGCAACAAGTTCTCAAAGTTCCAGAAAAGAAATGAACCTTCCATCGAGTACATCACACTGGACGATGACGAGGAAAGCGATCAGAACAAACAGCAAGAAGTCAGAAAACCTAGTACCACGCAGGAACTAGCCTTGCAAACTTTCAAGAATCTCCAACTGAGTCAAACCGATTCGGCAAACCGTTCGGTGGCTAAGAAAAGCACCTTCCACCGTGCGGTTCCCGCATTGCAACCGTCCGCCGTATTCATGAACAGTTCCACCATCTACTGTGAAGATGATCGTCCGAAAGGCAAGATCGTGTACTACACGGCCAAGAAGCATCTGCCGCCGTTGAAATACAAACCGCATGAATGTAACACGAGTTGTCTGTTCAAAATTACGCACAATCTCAAATCGTACAGCCCAATGGCAAAGCCGTTGCTATCCGGCTGGGAGCGGCAGCTGTGTAAGATGAAGTACAAGAAAGTGTTCGTTGTCTATCGAGCACCTTGCGGCCGTAGGGTGAGGAACATGTACGAACTGCACATGTACCTTCGGATGACGAAAGCCACGCTGAATGTGGAAAACTTTGACTTCGATCCGATGATTCACTGCCTGGCGGAGTATGTGATCGAAAATCATATCTACCATAATCCGGTGAGTATTTCAAGGACTTATTTTCCTTTACATCCCTAAATGTTTTCATCCGTATTTGCAGGACCTCTCGGACGGTCGCGAATTCATGGCGGTACCGTGCGTTAACTACTTTGACGATACGAAGCCACCTCCGTGCATCTACTCGACCGAACGAATCCCTACGGAGGGTGTCAATCTGAACTTGGATTCGGATTTCCTGTGTGGGTGTGACTGTGAAGATGATTGCATCGATAAGACCCGATGTCAGTGCTGGCAGCTGACGGTTGCCGGTGCCAAATTTGGCAATCCCAACACTCCGATCGACAATATTGGATATGTGTACAAGCGACTACAGGAAGCCGTGGTCACCGGTATCTACGAGTGTAACTCTCGGTGCAAATGCAAAAGCAACTGTTTGAATCGGGTCGTGCAGCATCCGCTGATGACGAAACTGCAAGTTTTCAAGACCAGCAACCGTGGCTGGGGTATTCGTTGCTTGAATGACGTTGCCAAGGGAAGTTTCATCTGTATCTACTCGGGACATTTGCTCACGGAAGAAGCGGGCAACAATATTTGCCAGATGAACGAGAATCAGGCCGGTGATGAATACTTTGCCGATCTGGATTACATCGAGACGGTGGAACAGCTGAAGGAGGGATACGAAACGGATGTTGTGGAATCGGAAAGTGAGATCGAAAGCGACTACGACGCTAGACAAGATAGCGGTGCTTCGGACGATGATTTTACTGCAAGCACAAATCCGACGGATGCTGCAGTGAAAACACGATCACAAGCCAGGAGGGACAGTAGACAGAAGAACGAAACTAAATCCGAGAAGGTTAGTGCGGTTTAGCTGGTCTCTGGTTGCTTGACGATTATTTAAAATTTTGTGTCGTTTCAGAAATATTCAAAGAAAAAAGAGGATTCTAGAACTGGCTCAGATGATGGTAGGATTTGCTGTCAAATTGCGTTGGGCAATTCGTATTTACCTATACTCCAAATTTAAATGCTTTCAGAACGGGAAATGGTCAATCTGATACCCAATTCCGATATGACAAAGGGAGACGCACCGAGTCCTGCCATAAAGTATCGTTCGGTTCGGAAGTATTTCGGCAAGCACGAACAAATCTATATCATGGATGCCAAAAAGTCCGGAAATCTTGGTAGATATTTTAATGTGAGTATTTTTCCTAATGGCTATTTTCTCAGCACAACAATCGTCTTAATAAAGTGTCTCTCCATGCAGCATTCCTGTAATCCTAACCTATTCGTACAAAATGTGTTTGTCGACACGCATGATCTCCGTTTTCCTTGGGTGGCATTCTTCGCCTTGTGCAATGTACGGGCGGGTTCAGAGTTGACTTGGAACTACAACTATGACGTTGGTTCGGTTCCTGGCAAGGTGCTGTACTGCCAGTGCGGAGCGGAGAATTGTCGTCAACGTTTGCTGTAGGTTGCTATTGGGCAACGGACGAGTATACTGAAGGTCAGTACTTGTAGTAGTTTGAAGTTCTATGTTCTTTGTATTACTGTGACAAAAAGTTCTATGCTCCGATTTGATGTACGAAATAAAACCCACAATAAGTCAACTAATTGTCAATGTCAACAATAAGCGTTTATTCTTCCATAGGATTAGTTTTTTTTTATACTTTCATGATCTCTACAAATCGCTCTTTGCGAAACATGTCCTTATAGGACGACATATATTTTAAACCTAGCTGTGTAGCCATCTCCTCCAAATATTGTTTAATCAACGGAGGGTGCGAACTGTCGACCTCCAGCCACAAAACACCTGCGGATTTCAGATGCTTTCCCGCTATGTCCAATATTGCTTTTACCACTGTCAGTCCATCTGGGCCGCCATCAAGTGCCCGGAGATCTTCGTAAATTTTTATTTCCGGCTCCAAAGTTGCCATCTGTTCAGATGGAACGTACGGTGGATTGCTGACTATCATGTCATACTTGTGGCTGTCCAATTCGGTTGGAAGCTTGTCGGCGAGCTTGTGCCTAAAAATGCGCAGATTTTCGGAAAGACCATGTCGTTTGGCATTTTCCAATGTCAACTCACAGGCCAATTTGCTCTGGTCCAAAGCGACAGCCGATGCCTGAAACGATAAAGTGAAAGGGGGTATTTTTATGACTCGAATTGAATAGAAAGAAATCCTTCGTAGTGTATTAGAAAGCGACGGAGCCAGGAGCTCAAGTTGCCATTTACCGAAATGATCTATTTTGCGGATACTTTGGAAATTGGGTATGAATAAACGAAGTCTGAAGGTGGTTGGGTTCAATTCCCGCTCCGGTCTAGGAATTTTTCGGGTTGGAAAATTTCTCGACTTCTCTCGGCCGGCATACACTGAGGCAAACAAATCTTAAGAATTCCATAAGACATAAACCTGGATAATTTTGATTTCATAAGATACTTATGAATTCCATAGGCATGAGTTATGCATTTCTTAAGCACGATTTATTAATGATTATCGTAATACGGTATACACTTTTAACCTATTATATTTCCCAAGCGTTGAAGTCGTGGGAACAAATCACGGTGTTAATAAACTGAACACCCAGGATTCGATTCCGGTCTACTACATTGTATATCACTATTTTTAACTTTCATTACTTATGAATTCTGTTTCATACGCCAAACTTATGATTTCTATAAGAAATACTATGTCGAAATTTCATAAGTGGTTCTTATGGAATTCTAACGTTCCTTTACCTCAGTGTAGAATATGATTGTACTTGCCACACAATTATACTAATGCAAAAACTGTACAGGCATCGAAACCTGTCAATTAATAACTGTGGAAGTGTCTCTAGAACACTAAGTTGCGAGCACACAATAAGCCAATATGCGATAAGCAATAAGCTTAAAATGCGAAGTAGAAGATTTGATTGGGGATAGTTTTTGGAAAAAAAAACACCAAATCGATCAGACTCAATCTTAAGGGGTATGGTTGTATTTCAAAAGTTTGTATTTTTCATAAGTTTTTGACGTAGAACTACGTCTTTGTCGACTATACTGGGAAATTAAAACCCAAATACGCCTATCGATACGATAATACATAACGAATCTGCTGAAATAAATACTTTTCAAATTTTTAATCAAAACACTTTTGAAAAATGCGCAAATGATAATTTTATCACTGTTTTATGAACTTAACATTTTCCCCAAACCCAGTCACCATAAACGAGTACCACTAGGTTGCAAATCATTCTGCTTGAACCTGAAAAGATATGAAACAGCGCTGCTTTCCTCTCTGCTCATTACCGCTTCGGACGGCGTGGCACTAGGTTCTGCAGCAAGCAGGACCAAGTCAGCGGCTAAAGGTGGATCACGGCGTGACCATGACCACCACAATGAGGAATGAGACTTGAAAAATTATGTATGTATAACTTACCCCCCCCTTAACAACAACCCGAAAAAGACATGGACTTTGACGATCACTTTTTTCCGGGAAATACGTTTTAAGCAAACCACAATTAGGAGCTGTTCATTTACTACGTGGACAGTTTTTTTTATGTTTGACCCCCCCCCCCATGCGTACACAATTGTTCATACAATTTAAACTCTGTCTACGTAGTTTATGAACAACCCCTTATAAGTAAAAACAATTTTTTACACGCAGAACCTAAATTTAAAAAAAAAAGCTTAAGAGGAGACATAAATTCGATGAATTACCAACAACTTACTGTAAAACATATCTGGTAACTCTACATATGCAATTAGATTAGCATCCCAAGTCCATCCTTTTTCCATATTCTGCACAAAAGAAACGTTCTGCCCCGCCTCATTCATAATAATAAGTATAATAGTCAAAAATGCATGACAAACATCAATTTTGCGTGGTTCTACGTCATAACTGCGGTCGTGCCTAGGACATAACCCTTTAATTTTTTTTAACAAAATCCTAAATATTGGAAATTGCTCTAATATTGGCCTATGGATCTAGTATTGAGCCCATCGCTAAAAATCTGCTTTTTATCAATTTTATCTAGATGAACGCGTCATTTGGGACGGTATTAATGGATATTTTTGGTCGCTATTGAAAATTTAGTCGAATTAGGGGTATTTAGGCCGACATTACATACATTTCCCCTATTATTGGACTTGCTAAACACATTTTTTTTTCTCAAAATAACTAAAAGAAATTTATCGTGTTTTTTTTTTCTAGAAAGACTTAATTTTTTCCTACATCGAAGCAAAAGAACGTAGGAATTCCATAAGAACCACTTGTGAATTTTAGCCGCTAGAAATCGATATGAATTTTATAGATTTGCCTTATGAAAAATAATGTCGGCAAAAAAATAACGCAGCAGCATGGAACCGAACCATGGACTTTACGGGTCCTGTGTCTGGACCAGTCGTCTGTCAACGCTTGGGTAAATAGAAAGGATAAGAGCTACCTTATGTTAGACGAAACATGTTCATAAGTCTCGCTTATGAAATTCATATGTGTCTTTCATAAGTCGAGCCTTATGAAATTCTTAAGTCTATTGGCCTCAGTGTATACAACTATACTGCCGCTAGAAGTATAATTGTTCCATATGTGTATGAAACTCCACAGCACATGGAACATTTATGCGTCCACCGGCAGTATACGATTTGTTAAAAAATGTCGAATAAAATTGCAATATTCAAAAATGGACGAATTTCCCAGGGCATTGGCATAACCTTGAGGATTGCTTAACTGCAACCAGGTCCCAGGGCTTGTCTGTATCTTTACATTTTGAAAGATGCACACTAGTGATGCCAGTTGTCATGTAGCGTAGCGGACCAAAAGTTTGTTAGAATTTAACTACAAACCAAAATTACACAATTGTGTAGTTTAAAATTATGATTTTAACAATGAATTGTTTGTAGTTGAAGATGCTAATTTCAAATAACAGGTAATTTTTATACGATAGATGAGGAGATTAAAGTATAGAGTTGATAGTTCCGTTAGAGTACGGCAGTATGAAAATTGTATATAGAGAGTAGAAAGCGAGAAAGGACAACTTTTTAGGAAGGTACAAATCGGTTTGATCACCTCTCTTTACCAAACTCCCCCGTTGTAGAGGGATGGTGAGGGGTATTCCCCCCTCCGCCACACTGGCAAAAAGAGATGATCACCGACTCGCTCATGTACCGACGATGTGTTTGAAACAGTTCTATCGATTGTACCGCACTCAAGTTGTTATCTGAAGGAAGGCATCCAGTCGTAGGAAATTGCAGCTACCTGATGCTACCTACGATGACAGGGGCACATACCGTGTAGAGGTAACAATAGCTGCAATTTCCAAACCTACGACTGCTACGACTTGCTCACTTTCTACTCTCTCTACACAATTTTCATACTGCTTCTTCTGAAATTAACCAGAAAACGCTCCGCGTAATAATTACCGTTGAATTCTTTTTGGAATTGACTTAAAACCCCTTCTAAGAATTGAATTGGAATCCTCCTTAGAATTCCCTTGAACCAATTCGGCGACTTTGATTGTTTTGAAAATCTTTTCAAAAATTTCTTTTAACTATATTCAAAACAGCAGAAATCTTTCGAAAGTTTATTTAGAAATCCTTTGGAGTATTTTAAAAAAATTCTTTCTAATTATCAGCAAATTTTTTGCAATCAATTTTGTTGGAGTTCTGCGATGAATTGTTCCCACTAGGGTTGTAATTATTGTCAGAAAACTTTTAGAACTCTGTTTCTTGTTAAATTCTGATCATAATTCTCTTGGAATTCTTCTTAAAATTCATCACGATCCCCATACAAATCTCCTCAGAATCACGTAGGAAGTTTGCTTAATGTTTTGTTTTTCACAACTCCTTTTGAAATCTTCTAAAATAACGTTAACATTTAATTTAGAACTTGCATTCTTCTCCACAGAAATCCCTCCAAATTCATCTAAGAATTTCTAAGGACTTCATGTCAAAATAATTCTGGAATTCTGCTCAGAACTTCTCCATCAAAAACTGTGTGGGAGGGAATCCTTCTCAATATTTGTTTGAAATCAACCCTTTGAATTCTTTTAAATTTTATTAAAAATTCCAGGGTTTGCCCGCAAGATTCTATAGATTGTTCTGTAATTAGTTATAACCCTTAAAATGCTTCCAAGTCTCAAAGCGTGACAATTATGACTCCACGACTCATAAGTATGATTTTTGACGTAGGACTACGTCTGTGATTTCCATATGGGGGTACACTTTGTGAAAACCAAAAATGGAACATGTAACAAAATTATGAAAGATTTTGAACGTTAATAACTCTGCTTCCCCTAGACCAATTTCAATAATTTTATCATCAATCGATCAGTAATATTTCTACGCATCTGTAAAAATTTATGACTTTATAATTTTTCAAAATGTCACTTTTGAAAATTGCATGAATGTGCAACTGTTGCTATGGTAATTAAAATTATAACCGATTGCCTCCGAAAAGCGATTTCCCTAACACGAATTTCAAAGTTGAATTCCATCCGGTCTCACCAACCGGTGTTTATTCAATCACCACGTGGTAGAAGGCGCACCGCTATTGATCGGAATCATTAGCTCTTCGTGAGTCGCTGTGGGCCATCTATATTAAGCGCGTCATACTAAAGAGTATACACAGAGAGAACCCCGCTCAAATTCCTATTCCTACACAAAACAAAAGCTCCTGCTGCAATTAACAAATAAGATTTATTATATAAGACCACGTAGTCCTACGTCACCATTGCGTACAACCCCATAAGGCTGTCCCTTTTAGTTTTTCTTCAAATCTGTGATCTTGAAATTTCATCACGAAGATTGTTATAAATCACAAATTATTAAGAAAAGTTCTAGTTTCACAATCTACACAAATTTCAAAGCCCCAGAATCTTGAGAATCTTCTTAAATCACATTTGTTTTATCCAGGGTTGCTTCCACTCACTTGCTATAAAAACATGATTTTCTGAATTTTGAAATCATTAGATGTTATAATGATGTTTTGTGATACAAGAAGAGGATGAAAGGCAAGTGTTTGACTCATAAAACCTGTCAGTTTTGCTACCAGAGTGTCACAATAAGCGATTTTATGATTAGTGAGCGTTCACTCAGAGTGAGCGCTCGCGAGTCGTAAAATCGCTGATTGTGACTATCTAAAAGCGAATTTAACAGGTTTCATGTGTAACACTTGCATTCCAACCTTTTCTTGTATCTTACAAGTACAAAATATGATTATAACATCTAATGATTTCAAAATTCAGAAAATCATGTTTTTATAGCAAGTGAGTGGACGCAAGCCTGGTTTTATCCTTTCAGCTCGTTCATAAAAATGCGTTCAATTTCGTTTTTTGTTGAATATTAACAATCGGGAAATTTTTAAAATTTAGACCAGGAAAACCGGGATAAAACCGGGAATTTCAAAATGAAAATTCACTGGCCACCCTGCTGAGATGGGGTATTGCCGATACGTTACCCTACCGGTGATGTTACTATGGCTCGCCCTGTTTCACATTCGTGGATTACAAAGAACTTATTTAACCTGCTGGTAAAGATGCTATGATGCCACCCCCTGTCTACTGGTATAGCATGTACGGTGCATAAAAGCATCGGAAACCTGGCCCTTGACTCCCTTCTATACTACACAATCACAATATTCATATTTTCACACAAATGGGAATGATTTCCCATAACAAACAAATAGTATGCAAAGTTTAATAGTATATAGGGCTCTTGCGCTGAACTGGCCGGCTTGATTTGCCGCAAGGGCCGAGGCAAGGGCTCAGTAAGGGTTCCTACTTGCAGAGACCTGAAGCTAAGTGCTAGTTCCACAGTGACAATATCACATCGTTAAGTTTTCCCAAATTGTTGTACTAACCCTTCATTTCGATAACTATATGATTGCTGAAATGATACGGAAATGGGTTAGTGATGTGATATTGTTTATACAAGCTGAGCAGTGCGTGGGGTCCTAGCTGACATTGATCGAGTCTCTTTATCGATTTGCTCCTTTCTTAATAACTTTGCTAAAAAACCGTTTATTTTCGTGTTTTCTGTTTAATGCGCTAGATAACAGCTGCACATATCGAACTGGGTGCTGCAAATGGCTGAAAATGTCTTTTCATGGCCGTGGGGATGCAGAGAGTCTGTCGGTGTCGCTTGGAACATTATGCAGTGTTCCGCTTGTATTATTTTCTTTGTTTGATTGCTAATATAACGGTTTTCTCTTTTTGTTGCCTTCTATGTCACATTACAAACCATATCAAATGTATTACGGACTGAGCGCTCTTTCGGATGCTGAGCGGACTGTCATCTGGAAGGGTTGTGCACGAGGAGCTATTTTAATCCCCCCAGTTTTGAAGACATTCCGAAGCGAGGACCCATTATCTTGTGTCAGAGGGATGATGGAAGTGGCATATCCAGAAACACAATACAGCAAGAGAAGGAAGTAGGATTGAAGGTAAACAAGGAGTACATGGGAACGTCGAAAACTGTAAGTATACTCCGATCTATTCTAGTACTCTTGTATAAAACCTATTGTCTAGAACGTAGTCGTCGTCGCCGGGACGCATAGTCATGTGAGGATTTCCAGATCCGTGATTACTCATGATAAAGCACACAAGGTTCTCAACATTAAATACATTGCACGGGTTGGGTCGCACAGAGGGTTGATTAGATGTAAATTGCTTTGAAACACCCGCATAAACGATAACCATAAGGAGTGCCTAACAACCTATTAGGATTATCATCCCATCAGTATATGGTACATGATTTGTGGTATCGTTCATGTATGGTGACGTTGACGCTCATTGCACACTCTTTCATTCTCCGGCTGATGGAATGGATGACGGAGTTTGACGTCACACTCCTTCAGACGTTTCAGTACACGGAGACAATTTAAAAAATTTATTTCTATTAGGTAAATCACAGTTTAAAACTCACTAATAATCTCTTTCAATCTCTTTCAATTTCTGATGTAATCGATGCGCTATGTGACGAGAGCGCAAACAAAACGAGGCCATTTTTCAACGATACTATAATAACTTATGCGCTTTTCACACAAAACCTATCCAACCCTTTTCCTTTCTACAATCCCTGAGCAGTTGGTTCACGATAAGTGTACCTCGCAGAACTTTTTTAACCCCCATGGGTAAAGATGCTGTGTTGCTCACTACTCTCCCCTTCCCTGGTGTATTATGGATGGTGTGAATATTCACATCGGTGACATGGCCCCTGACCCCCTTGTACATCAGCAAATGAAAATGAAAAATGAAAAGTTTAATGGTATATAGGGGAAACGGATGTAATGTCGGCCTAAATGCCCCTAATTTGGGCCCATACATAATTCAGCAATCGACTCAATTTTCAATAGCGACCAAAAATATCCATTAGTACCGTCCCAATGACGCGTTCATCTAGTTAAAATGGTACAGTAGCAGCACCTACCCCACCCGTGTCCCCTCGAGATCGTCAAGTCGACGATGACAGGAGCACATATCGTGGTAGGGGTAAACAATAGTTGCAATTTCCAAACCTACGACTGGATGCCTTCCTTCAAAATAACAACTGAAGTGCGGTAAAAAATCGGTAGAACTGTTTCAAACACACAGTTGGTATTTGAGCGGGTCGGTTTTCATCTCTTTTTGCCAGTGGTGGCGGGGGGGACACCCCTCACCATCCCTCTCCAAAGGGGGAGTTTGGTAAAGAGAGATGAAAAAACCGATTTGTACCTTCCTTAAAAGTTGTCCTAGCTCGCTTGTCTAATATCTATATACAATCTTCACACTGCCGTACTCTAACGGAACTATCAACTCTACACACTAAGTTTTTTCTACCGAGCTCGGCTGTGCAAATCTCGGCAAAAGAAGTTTTACTGAGATCAGCAAACATTTCATTTCTTTGCTGAGATTCGGCTATACATTATCCGAGATTCAGCAATCAAATGTCACTTTTGCTGAGATCTCAGTGAAACTTATTTTGCCGAGATTTGCACAGCCGAGCTCGGTAGAAAAAACTAATGTCGTTTTCGTTTTTGCGGTGTAGCACTGGTGTAGTGTAAGCAGGAATAAGCACGAGTCTTTGACAGCTCAACATCATTTGTTTGTAAACAAAGGTGCATCCTATGTCTACACCCTAAAATATTTCGGTGTACGGCAGTGTAGCACCGGTGTAGCTACACCGCAAAAACGAAAACGACATAAGTGTGTATGCTTTCATCTACTCCATCTATCGTATAAAAATTACCACTACAGTCTGTTATTTGAAATTAGCATCTTCAACTATGTAGTTAAAATGGATAAATAGCAGATTTTTAGCGATGGGCCCAATCTTAGATCCATAGGCCAATATTAGAGCCATTTTCCCTATAAAAAATATTTTTATCAAATCAAAGGCCCGTGAATTATAAATCATCTTATGTAAAAGAAGTTATTCGAAAGGAATTGCACTAAAAAGAACCGATCAAAATTAATAAAGAAACATCCATTGAATGGGCCTACAATATTGTAAGTAGGTATTTGTCGCCTAAGGCCACCGTAGTAAACGAAAAAAGCTAATTCAGGTTTTTAATCAACGAATGCAATTAGGCCCTAATTATTCTGAACGCTAGGTTTGACTGCAATGTTCTTGTTGATTTTTTATATCAATTGACTAAATAATACCAAAGTAATTAATAAGCCCGATAATGGCCCTTTTTGCAAAATAAGGCTGATATACGGCTTTATATTTTTATATTAGCTTATATCATCATCATATTGCATTTTTGGCATTAGTAGGCTTGATGGTTACTTGGGACGGTCACTTACCCAAGGTGCATGTTTCAATATAGACAACGTTATCGCTCCCGTTCCGCAGCCAATTTCTAGAAACTGCAACTCCTGCTGAGCATCAATCTGTTGCAATATTAACTCTATCAGCTCCTCGGTTTCCGGTCTGGGAATAAACACCGGCGGAACCATCTTCAATGTGAGATCTCGAAACTCCCACTCGCGGATTATATACTGAATTGGCATCCGAGCTAGCCGGCACTCACAGAGCTCGTCAATCTTAGCTAGCTGTGCTTCGTCTAACTTGGTTTCCTGACACTCTTTCACATCGCTCAGAGACTGCACCTGGAGGACGTGAGCCAAAATGTTGGTAATGGAGGCGTCCGCTTCCGGTATGTTTTCCGTCTGGAACCGTGATATCCATTTGTCTTTAACAGTGCGAACAGTGGATACCATCGAAGCATTCAACGCCTCTGCACAGAAGTTCTGCCAAGTGAAGCCATTGACGGTGGTGGTGGAATTCTTCAGCAATCGTGGTATCGAACGGGTCAGAAACATGTTTACGCGGTTGCTGCGTTTGGTGTAACTTCTTGCACAGCAGCACTGATTGAACAATAGACACAAAAAGCTTATTTGATGATTATTTTTTCCTAACACCGGAAAAAATCAATGAACCATGTTGAAGATTATCCAACAATCTGAAATTCACCGTATTTTTGTTTATAAACATGTATCTATAGCAAGGATGACAGTCGATCCAGGCACGTGATGTGGAATCTGTTTCATACAATGTAGCAAGCGATTTGGGTATGGCTTACATTGTTGTGTGACTGGTCAAACAATTTAAAAAGTCCGTTTACTCTTATATCGTCGCAATAGATTTTCAATGATCAAGTAGGGTGAGCGTATCAGTTATGGCTATGCGTTCCTATTATGATGTGTTCCAGTTATGGCATGTGGAATTCACATAAGCCACAATTGGAACGTATATCCATAACTGGTACATCTACCCTATAAGCTAATAATATGTATCTAGGTCTCGATCTAGGTAGGGGATATGGTTCTAATGATTGAGCCTATCGTTAAAAATCTGCTATTCATCAATTTTATCTAGATGAACGCGTCATTGGGACGATACTAATGGATATTTTAGGGGCATTTAGGCCGACATTACATCCATGTCCCCTATCAACCAGAATATAGAGCACAGTGTATTCTCCCTTACTCGATATTCTGTAACTCGATGATAATCCAATTATATGCTAATTTGTAGGTATCGCTCTCATTGTCGATGTAATATTATTCTCTGCGCTTTGGTCAGATAGCGTATAGAGCTTTTTGACGTTTAATCGGGGCACACTATACTGCAGCATTCCCGAAAAAAAAATTACAGTGAAATTTTCAGTGGAAACAATGCTCTAACATTAATATTTATTGTCGACAATAAAAATGATTGTTATAATGTTGTACTCTTCCGAAAACGGCAAAACTGCTACCTAGCTGTACAATGAATGTACATAATAAAATGTTGTTACAATGATTTTTATCGTATTTTTCATTTATTTTATTGTTAACATGATTCGATCATGAACAATAATTAACAACTCTATTACAATAAAAATTGTTGTTACATTAAATATTGGTGTATTTTCATTGTGGGTTACTTCACGAATAATAAAAATAAATCTGATTGAAGCATGCAGACTATGAGAGGGTCAGCAACACTGCCAATGTAATTAAGATAGGCGCTGCTCGTATGGCTCTGGCTTTGACAGTTCGTTTGGCTCAAAACCAGGCAGTCCGCGTCCGCTCATATCTTATCCTAGACCCTCTCTAAAGCTTAATGGAGACCTTTTCCGTGCAGTCAATAATCATACAATAATAATGAAAAATTCCACCACTTGAAGATGTCAGGAAGTAACTCTCAGGTGGAAGCATATTTCATGGGCGATTCTCTCCAGTCGAATGCATTAACTTATCAACGACGCTCAACCACCAAGGAGACGTGACCTAGGGATATCGAGCGCAGGGGAGTTGGCCTGCATTTCTCACAAGTTCCGGATCGAATCTCGATCCATAACCAGTAAAAAAAGGACCACCCGTAACAGACATACCACCCCCTTCCCTTCCCGGGGCAATGTTTTATTTTTTCGATTTATTTTTAAAGTCGATAAAGTAGATCTGTCAAGCCAACACATACACTCTAAAGTACACTGTTATTTTTTTTAATCAATAAATTCGCCAACCAACAGTAAAATAACAATAATATATAATGTTATTGAAAAAAAATTATATGGGAAAATCACGAAAATTTCATTGTTAAGATACTTAACAACCCCCCTTTTTTATTGTAAATTTTCCATTTACCATGAAATTTATTGTTTTGTACAACATAAATCAAGGTAAATTTATTGTAGACGTAACAATATAAATCATTGTTAAGACAATAATTTTCGTCTTATTGTTACATTGTTTTTTAATGTATTTTTGTTGTTATTTTTTTTCGGGTTTAAATCGAACGAGTGCGAGCAAGAGGGAAACAGATTAGTGGGGGAAAAAACCGTCCATTCATCCATGTGTACTAGATAGAGAAAGACAATTAAACGTCAAAAAGGTCTATAGGGCGTCGTTGTGCCAATTTGGTCGTGGCAAATTTCGAGTATGAGAGAGTGATTGCAGTTTGCTCAAGAGTGCCTGAGTAAAATGCAAGTACTTTCGATGATTACCCGTAGTTGTTACAGTGAAGATATACACCCATTTTCTCTTTTATGTCTGTGCGTGTTTGCCATACAGAAACATTTTTATTTGATTTTGTGTGGTGGATGGGTTTCGGGCGTTGACGGGCATATACTTACTTACTTAACGATCCTGCGCACCTCCAGGGGTGTAAAGGGCCTTTGTGAAAGATTTTCATCCTGGGCGATTACAAGCTTTGGCCTTGACCTGTGCCCAAGTCAAATTTCGGTCAACGTTCTTAATTTCACTGTTTAGGCTCCGCCGCCACGAGCCTCTGGGTCTGCCTCTGCTGAGATGTCCTGCTGGATTCCAGTCCAGTGCTTGTTTGCAGATTTCGTTTCCGCTCCGTCGTAGTGTGTGGCCGACCCACCTCCATTTCCGTTCACGAATTTCTGTCTCTATCGGCTTCTGATGGCACAAACGATGAAGCTCGGAATTTGAGATCCAATTGTGGGGCCAACAGGCACGAATTATGTACCGCAGGCATCGGTTGATAAACACCTGCAGCTTCTGAGTGTTCTCCGCTGATACACACCATGTTTCACTAGCACAGACTTCACGTTCGAGTTAAAAATTCGGATTTTGGTGCGTCGACTGATCTGATTCGCTACATTTCGCAAACTGGCAAAAGCAGCCCTCGCCTTCTTAATCCGTGCACCTATGTCGCTCTGTGTGCCGCCGTCCGACGCTATCGCTATCGACGCCAAGATATTAGAAGCTTTCGACTTTCTCCACTGCTTGCGCAGCTACCGTGAAATTGGAACGGTTTTCCGTGTTGACAACCAACGATTTGGTCTTGTTGATATTGATGGTTAGACCTGCTTCACAGGAGCGTTCCACAAGGTCGTCGAGCTTACTCTGCATGTCAGAGCGCCGTTGTGCTAATAACGCAACATCATCAGTCAAATCGATATCGTTGAGATGGTCCATAGTAATAGGCTGCCACAGCAACCCACAGTTCGGTACACGGTCAACGGCTCCAACCATGATCTCGTCGATTACGATGAGGAACAGTAGCGGTGATAATATACATCCTTGCCTCACACCCGCGATTACCCGAATCGGGTCAGACAAAGCTCCGTTGTGCAATACTCTGCACGAGGAAGCTTCGTACTGCGCTTCGATGAGGTTGACGACCTTATCAGGGACTCCCTTGCGTCTCAGAGCGCCCCACAAGTTTTCGTGGTAAATCGAAAGCTTTTTCGTAGTCAATGAATACCAAATAAAGGGACTCTTGAAACTCATTGACCTGCTCTAAGATGATGCGGAGCGTGACAATATGATCCACACAGGATCTTCCAGCACGGAATCCTGCCTGCTGTCGTCGGAGAGTCGCGTCGATCTTCTCCTGTATCCGATTGAGGATAACTTTACACAGAACTTTGAGAACAATACACAGTAACATGATTCATCGCCAGTTGTCGCATACAGTTGGATCCCGCTTCTTGAGGACTTTTACCAAGATGCCCTGCATCCAGTCGGCCGGAAAAGTCGCGATGTCCCAGATATTGACGAATAATTGATGCAACATTGCTGAGGATAGCATGGGGTCAGCTTTGAGCATATCTGCTGATATGCGATCGACCCCCGGGGCTTTGTTAGACTTCATACTTCGGATGGCTGCTTCTATCTTCTGCAATGATGGAACTTCAGTGTCACGCGAGTAACGCGCCTCACCCTTGGCGGATCACGCCGGGATGTTGATGGTTGGTTGACCGTTGAAACTTCGAGAAGTTGTTCAAAGTGCTCAAACCAACGTTTCAACTGGTCAGTAGGGTCGGTGAGCAACTGTCCAGTCGCGTCTTTCATAGGCATCCTTGGATTCATCCTTGGCCCGCTCAGGCGTCGTGAAAAATTATCGAGGAGGCGGATATCGCCAGTTTCTGCGGCTTTCTCTCCTTCATCAGCCAGGGAGTCCCCCACGCTCGCTTGTCCCGTATACAGGAGCGCTTAACTTCCCTCTCTAGAGCCGAATACCGCTGACAGGCCTCGTTCTTTGCTCCTCGGGTGCTTGCGGGAGCGTTTTCACCTCGCATATCAGAATATAAAAGTACCTGTTCCGAAGGCAGCTTGTGTTCTCTAAAGTTCGGCCAGCGGACTTCACTAAGTCCCAGGATTTCTAGCTTCATACGGTGGGCCTCACTGGCGAGTTGTGCCAGTTTACCCTGTTGGGCTAGCGTCAGTACATTCCATGTTCCAATTCTTGTCCGTTGTTTAGCGCTAAAAGTCGTTGCCATAAATTGGCCTAAGGTCTCCTATCCGCCGTAATGGGACTGCCATCTTGGGTATAGCTTTCGTGGAGAAGCATTTCGTATTCAGCCGCTGGATGCCAGTCAGACGCCACATCCTCCGAAAAGGATGCAGCTCCCCTTTCCCTGTCAGCATACGACCAAAGTTCCCACCGTGGTTGGTTACCCGATCTTCCCTAAGGTTACTCGTACCCCAGCTGGCGCCGCGGGGAGGAAGGGATAGGAGGTACTGGGCAAGAGGCTAAGGACCACTTTCACTTGCGTGACGGGTCTATTTTTGACGGGCATATGGGAGATAATATTAAGTTTACGTTAGGATAAAGTTGAAAAATTGAGAAATGTATCGTTTCAGTTCGAGAAGCACTTCACTTCGCAACCGATGAACCATTCTGACGGCCCACATTATCGTACAGGCGCCGTGTGTTGACAGGGTCCAATATTGGACAGTTTGATGTTTATAAAGTAAAGATTATCATGTTGGTGTACGTTGATTCAAAGAGTAAATGGTATTAACATTGAGCTGTCCATAGTTGGGTACTTGCACAACATTTCCTGTGGTAACCATATTATCACAAAATTACTTAAAATGTAGGTTCAGACAATGAGACAATGTCACTGAGATATGGTTAGTTGGGTATTCAGATGAAACTACTACTTTCAAACAAATAATCCTGTTTGTATCTCTTTTTCGTTTGCATGTAACACTATTTGAAATTACTAACCGCACCGAGCCTTCATTCCGGGTGGTGAGCAAACCTGAAGAAGAAGAAGAAGATGACCATGAGCCCCTTCTTGGAACGAGTGTTTTGTTAGTGGACCTGGTCTGCGATTCAAGGTTGGATTCTGTGATGATAAATATCATATAATTGGCAGCGATTCTCGTAGTTTGGAAGACGAAGTTGGTATCTTCAAGGCAGCTTACGGAGCGCGAAGCGAAGAAAACGTCGTTGCACAGATTCAATTCGCTCGGCCCCCCACCCGTCACCCAGCCGTTCGATAGTCGTGCCTAGTAGTTTGTAGTTGAAAATAATCGGTTGTTTCTTGTGTGAGAAAGTAATGATTGTACACTTAGCTGGGTTGACCACCAGTCGGTTTAGACTACACCAGTCAGCAAAGATGTCAATCTGATGTTGGAGAGAACGGCAGTCGGCGAGTGAGCGGATGCGCAGAAAAACTTTCAGATCGTCTGCAAACGATAATCTTGGCTCTGTGTTAACATGGTGAACGTCGTCGAAGTAAAGGAGAAATACCAATGATCCCAGATAGCTATACTGGACTTTGCGCAGAAGCTTGCTGAGCGACAAGTTCCCCAAGTTACTGTCAGTTGGCGCTCCGCGAGGTATGAACGAAACCATCTCAAAAGATTTCCACCGATCCCTAGTCTATCAAGCTTAGCGATCGCAATTTCGTGGTTCAGCTTATCGAAGGCTGCCGTAAGATCTGTGTAAATAACGTCCGTTGTGAATCCGTGTTGATCTATACTTAGATATTGCTTGCAATGCGCATTTCGGGACTCTATGACAACCAATTCAAAAAGTTGTGATACAGCACTCAGCGACGTGATTCCCCGGTAGTTGTTTACGTCGCGTTTGCTTCCCTTTTTATGAACAGGGAACATATACGCAGTCTTCCAGCAAGACGGAAAGAGAGAGCTGGAATATGCGGCGCAGTGGATCTAAAGGACAAGTGATGTTCTTTTTAAGAATAATCGACGGAGCACCATCGGGTCCAAACCTTAGCTGAAGTCTTAAGTAGTGGGATCGACAACGCTAAGCATTTGGTTGACCAAAGGTACATTACTGGGAGCGGAAGTAATGAGATTAGTGGACAGTTGCTCGTCTTCAAACACACTAGCAAATTTGGCTGAGAACAGGTTGCAAATGTCTTGTTGATTACCAGCAGTTTTACCATTAAAATCATGGAAGAGGTTAAGCCGACTTCGCTGCGTTGCTCATTTACGAAGTTCCAGAAGAATTTCGGGTGTGATTTTAGCCGCCGTTGAATCCTCCTTTGATAGCGTTGAAAACAGAGACGACTTAACCGCTTATATTCGTGGTTGAGTCTGACATAGTACTATTTCAGCGGTAGTGTGAGGAATTGAGTAAACCTTCTGAAAGCAGCCTTCTTAGAGCAATTCTCTACAGATTGACGAATTTTTTATTTTTTTTTTTAATTTGTCGGCTCCGATTTTTGCACAGTTGTTCTTTTTTAGTAAAGATGCCAATTTGTGTTATCAGTTCTTCAAATTGAATCACGACTACTTTTCTAATAGGGCCTGTGTAAAAATAGCACTAATGAGTTAAAAAATTTATATTGCTGAAACGCTTTGTTCGATTAATTTGGTGTCTTGAGCAAAGTTGTAGATATTATTTTGGCAATAATGTTAAAAATATACACTGTAAAAAAATTCGTTTGTTTCAATGAAAAAAAAATATATTTCTTATTAAAAAAATTAATTTCTCAAAAAGTACATTTTTGAAAATTTTTTGTTTTAAGCCTCATTGAAGCTCATAATATTTGCTACAAACTGGCAAAGTTTGGTGATGGTCAACTCAAAAAAGAAAATTAATCGCTAGTTTGAGCATCATTTCACTTTTATTTAGTTCTAGCTTAATATTCATCAAATGAATTTTTTAGTTTTGTTAGTAACGATACCTTTTCATGGTATCAGATGTAATGAATCCTAACTTTTCAATAGGGCCTGTGTAGAAAAACACTAATGAAATAAACATATCTATATTGCAAAAACGGCTTGCTTGATTGCTATGGTGTCTTCGGAAAAGTTGTGCAAAATAAAATGCAATTCTTGAAAAAATATACACGGTTAAAAAAAAATGTGTTTTTAATGAAAATGTAAAAATCGTGAAATATTCAAAAAACCAGTTGAGTTTACGATCACCAAACTTTGCCAGTTAGTAGCAAACATTATGAGCTTCAATGAGACTTAAAACGAAAATTTTCAAAAATGTACTTTTTGAGAAATTAACTTTTTTAATAATAAATATAATTTTTTCATTGATACAAACGAAATTTTTTACAGTGTATATTTTTTACACAATTGCCAAAATAATATCTACAACTTTGCTCTAGACCCCAAATCAATCGAACAAAGCGTTTCGGCAATATATATTTTTAAACTCATTAGTACTATTTTTACACAGGCCCTTTTCAAAAAGTAGTCGTAATTCAATATGAAAAACTGAGAGCACAAAATGGCGCCTTTACTAAAAAGGAACAACTGTGCAAAGTTTCAGCGTAATTGGAAATGATCGGTCAGGATCGATTTGCGAACCTTCGTGGAATGCCTCTTTAGTTCTTTTCAACGAGCGAAGATCTTTCGTCATTCACGGAACGCGAGAGTCGATATGGGATGATCTTTTTGGAAACGTGCCTTTCAATGACATATGCCAAGACGTGAGAAAACGTTTGTGCAGCAATGTTGACGTCTACAGAATCTAGAATATGCTCCCAATCTAGATTAGACAGCACATGGACAATACTGCGATGGTCAGCTCTACGGAAGTCATATGACACAGCGTTTGGAGTGCTGATGAAATCATGGACAATATTATTTTCCATCACGATAACTAAAGCAGGGTGATGATGCACTTCCTTGACTAGAGGTTCGGGTGCCGTGGATAGGAAAGGAGTTGCATCACGAGCACTCATTAAGCAGAGATCTCTTATCCTTCACGCTTCTATGTAAAGGATCAACTTAACTCTTATTTAATATTCGGCTGATTTCAATCGACTCGCATTATCATTATCATTTCATTATCTAAGAGCCATCTTATCTTTATCTATTTGATTTCTGCATGGAAAGTGTATAATTGGTCATCAACATTACACTGTAGACCAGGCTCAATGCCTCCAGCATGGCACAATAACAATAACAATAGCAATAAAAATTCGTTATTTTGCCATCAGAAAATGGGACGTTTCCGTGATAGGAAAAAGGGCTTTCGAATATTGATACCGAGCACGCAATCCTACGTCAATACAACCTCTTTTTTTCGATTGTTGTTTTAAAACTTGATAGAGTGGGTGTACCAGTAATGACTATTCGTTCCTATTATGGTATGTTCTAGTTATGGCCTATGGAATTCCTATAGGCTACAATTTGAACAGATCATAATTGAATTCCCCTGTAGAATTGGAAAGTATAGCCATAACTGGTACATCTACCCTAGTTCTTTTCATATCGAGTTGCATAAAGTTAACTGTATTTATATGCTTTAATTTGTTGCTTCCCTAATAAAAATACCAAAAACGAATGATAACCCAAACTATTAAACTATTCCACAAATTATTTGGATGGTACCCCGAATACGTCGTTAAGCAAAATAATCATACAAATTGTATTATGGTTGTGTGTTGGTGAAAAATAAACAAGCACACACACACTTAAAAAAATGTGAGCCTGGTTTATATGAATCACATAACTCGTATGCAAGATTGCATAGCATTTTTAAGGTATAAGATGCATACGATCCATTATTCGTTCGCAGCTCAGTGCTTGTCTGGATGTCATCACCTTTAATCAAAGAAGACGTGAAACGAAAACAAAACAATTTCAAACTATACCACACTGCCACAAACCAAACGTAGTTCCGCAGTTACTCTATAATACTGCAAAAAATAAAAGTGTATTTCCTTCAAATTGTACCCGGGAAAGGAATACCATGGCCTACCTTTCTAACTTCACCGCCGAAACGGGTAAAACCATCCTCATTGACGTGCTGAAGACGGCCAACCTACCGGACAATGCCAAGAAGCTGTCGGAAGCGAAAGCCAGCTCTGGAAAGGAGATGATCCGAATGATGCAGTATGTCTTCCCGTTGGTGATGCAGCTGCAGATCGGCGTTATCAAAGAGTACGGATTCCCGCCGAACCGCGAGGGATTGGTCCAGTTCGAGCAGATCATTCGGGAGTTCGAACGGGAAGATGTGGATATAGCGAGGCTCCGAGCGCAGATACGTTCGATCTATCTTCCACCGATTAACATAAACAGCACAAACGATGTACTGATCTAAGTGGGGGCACGAAGCTCAAGGATATTGAAACGATATTTGCCAAGGATTATTATTTTCTTTTGGATACAATATGCGCAGGAAAGGATATTTGCAATAACTTTTCTCATTTGTGCTGCGACCTCGTAGAAACGTTTCGTACGGCTCGGTAGGTTTAAGCAAGACTGAACAAATTATTAACCGGATTTACAAACTCGTAATAGGTATTGTAAGTGTAGAAGGAGATTTTATTCTATAGAATAGGTTACAGGTACTAACAGAGCATTAAACTGCCAGCGTTAACAATAGACAACAAGTAAGCTGTATTATTTTTTGACATTTAACAATAGCAAAATCGCGGCTGCATATGGTGATATTACAACTTTCGTGTCAATGAAGTATGTTGCACCATCTTAAAAGATTTATAATGAAAAAGGTACAGTATATAGGAATTGTATACACACTCTTGAAATGAGTGAATAAATATAACAATGACAATGTGATAATGTTTATTTTTTCTCTCCCTTGTCATGAAAATTGTAACAAATGAAGATCTATTGCCATCACTTCTATTTGAATCATGAAAGCATGGTGGATCATCTGTCTTCTTAAGTCATCACGCCATACCTTGGTACTGAAGGGACCATTGAGAGATCAAAATATAGAATGCCCCCGATCACGGTAACATAACTAGCGTATTTATGAAAAAGAAGGTAGTTTCAATACATTCAACCTTATTTGAGGGGCACGCAATACAAAGAACCGGTGTGTTGAAGTTAAAATGCAATCAAAGGTACTTAAAGTAATTAATGCGTTTGAAGTAGTACTGACGGTAATTAAAATTAACTATCCGTATTTAAATGTAATTGTAATTGTTCAGTGTATAGGCTGTGCCAACCGCTAAGTTGGCTTATCTAGGGACCAACCCCCTAGCCTATACACCTATTGCCCTTCCCGTTGCACTCGTCAGCTCTTGCGATACTCTAGACACACATGGGTGGTCGTATCCGGGTCCTCCCCTGGGGAGGCTTGTGTCCGTCCAGGTTCTGGTACATTAACTTATATCTATGCATGGTAATTATACTTTACAACTCACCTTTTGATTATAAATGTCGATAATGCTGAAGGCTAGTGATCAATATTAGGTGTGTGTTGCGATGGAGTAGTAATTGAAGGAAATGAGGTTCTGATATGGATAATAGGTAATTCTAAAATAGGTAAATCATGCGAGCACACACCTTTTACAATTCTTATCCTACTTACCAGTTCCGTCCAGTATAAATTGGTTGTCTCCAACCAACGTGATCCTTTCAGACTGCTTACTCTCTTCTTTTCTTGTTCACGCTTTCTCGCTTTTTTTTTTCGTTCTATGTGTTCCGTGTTCCCATTTGTTCTCAGACAGTTAATATTGGTACATGAGAGGAAGAAATAAATAGAACAAGCGAAGTGTTAGCCGCATGCGAAGGTTAATCGTTTGGGTCATGGTGTTGTGATCCCTATTTTATTTGCCTCTTAGATTGCAACGTTTCACTTTCCCCCTCCCCCCAAATTATTATGGATGAAAAATAGAACCCATATTTGGTAACCTCTCGCGAGCGCAATTCAAAAGATATGCATAACAAACTAATATAGAACTGGGCTCAAACATATAGCATTTTCTAAGACTGGTCATGATTAATATACCGTGCGGGACCGAAATCCGTACACCTAAGCACGAGAGAATCATTAACGGTCAATACTAAATAATGCTATCACATTATGCTCTGTATCACATCTTTTTCCTTTACATTTATCTTTATTTTTCCAATATTTGCAAACACCAGGTCTTAAAATTACCTTTAATTATTAGAAAAAAAGGATTTAAATTGCACATATCTTGAATCAAAATCCGTACAGCGTTTTACGATTGAATCAAAATCCGTACAGTTTTGAATCGAAATCCGTACACTGTGTTGAGGATGAATCAAAATCCGTACAGTCATGAATCAAAATCCGTACATGAATGTAAATCGATCCAAATCAATGAAAAAAAAACGTGTTGCTATCTTGAATAAAGATTTTTTTTTTTTTAGTTGCTTGGCTGAGAGTCCAAAACAGCTATATTCGTTTAAATACACTAGTTTACAGCATATTTGAACTTTGTACGCTGATGGTCATTTCCCATGTAAAATCGTGCGCTGAATCCAAAAATGTAGTCCAAAAAAATCTCGGTAGGATAGTTTTGGATATATAGGGGTAAGAGAGGCTTAGTGAACAGGTGGGGCATAGTGAGCATCGCGCGTGCTCCAGCTTGGACTTCCGGCCGTTCAGAACAAATTTGTTGGCTGTAGGATCAATATCTTAATGATATTGATCCTACTACCAGTTGATTTGTTTCATGCAGTTGGAGATCCAGAGCCAAAGTACGGGATGCTCACTATGCCCCGCCTGTTCACTATGCCCCTCCTTCCCCTAGCTAAAAAATGAAATCTCACGTTAAAAAAAAACTAAAACACAAATATCTCTGGCTGCAATGAAGTGATATTAATTATTTTAACGCCAAATTAAAGGTGATAAAATTTTATTTCGATCGTTATGACACTATTTTTCCGTGATAGTAATGGTAGAACCACCATAAACATTTTAATTTACATTGCTTAAAAACTTAGCAGAAATTCAATTTTTCTTAGGAAAACTTAAAAAACAAACTATTAACTAACAACAATACCATCAATCTCACTGACAATTGATGTTCAATTGATCGAACGAAAAAATTTCTAACCTCTAATTTAGCGTTAAAATAATTGATATAATCTCATTACAACCGGAGATATTTGTATTATAGTAATCAAACTTGTTAAAAGTGAATTTTTAGCTGTATCCCAAAAACTATCCTACTGACATTTTTTTCGACTACATTGTTGAATTCAGTGCACGATTTTACATAAGAATCATTCGTCAAAGGATCAAGTTCATTTTTTTTACTTTTACTTTTTTAACTAATGATATCAGCGTTAGATTAATTGATGCTCCAATCGATTCAAAGGAGAGGTAACTGAATTCTTTTTATTTAAGAAGGTAACTGTTCTGGATTTTTATGCTAACTAATATCATGTTTAAGGATTAATTTCTTCCAAATTTTATTCTATACCAGTGCTTTGGGTTAAATATTCTTACTGGAGTTTTCCTCCGATCACAACTTCGAGGTTTTTGAAATTTGAAATGTGATAACGTGCAAGATGCGCCATACTTTGGAACTCCACCAACCCACTGGCATCAAGCGATAAATTAACCGGTTCCTAAGATGGTAGCCCTATAATGGCGGATAAGTAAAAGAAAAATACAACCATCTTAGAAACCAACAAAAAAAAAAAACAATGAACTGACATCAAGGATTAGTTTTTCGTTTTGTGCATGAAAATTAAAATTGGTAAAATAACGACTATAACTTAATTTAATTTAATACGTCAATTTTATTGCTTCTTTTCCACAGCTTTCTTCTGCTTCTTCTCCATTGTTACCATTGCCTTTTCAAGTTATAATGCTTTCTTGCTTCCAACCCTAATAAAAATAACCATAATATAGAGCTTAACGACGTGTTTGGGGTATCATCCAAACCATTTGTGGGAAAGTTTACCCATCCGGGATAAAGTTTGTTCATGGTATTTGTTTATTAGGGAACTTTCTTTGCTCTTCTTCCTTTTCTTCCTCCTCTTCCTCTCTCGCTCAACCTTTTTCTTTTGTTGTTCCTCAATCCTTTGTTTCTTTGCGTTCTCTTTATCAATTTTCGCCCGCACTACTTTCATGTGTATTTCCGGTCATTCCTCGCTGGTAGACTACTGCTGGGAATGCTCTCTGGCCCATTTCTGTTTGCTCTCTGTAAGGGAGCATCCAAAAATGACGTAGCATATTTTTGATCAATTTTATACTCCTCCCCCTCCCCCCTCGTAGCGTATTTGGCTTTATCCAATACATGGCCGGTCACAAATTCTGAAACCTTCACCTCCCCCCTCAAATGCTACGTCATTTATGCATGGTCCCTAATTTGTATATGCGTGTTGGTGATATCCTGTAGGGGAGCTGCGTTGTTTTACTTTCCGGCTGGTTCTTGACGCTCTTCATTAAAAGATATTAATAATATAACGTTTACAATACGAATAAAATAAGAGTGTAGCGATTCAATACGGCATCTCTTATGGTGGTGAATTGAACGGCAAAATCCCTGGATGCTTCTCGGTAAGATTTCTCCGCACGCATCATTGCCACAGTCTTCTCCAAATCCTCCGGCGTGTATTTAGTTTCCATGATCTGCTGAAAAACATTGGATAAAGTAGAATCGTCATTAGTGATGCACAAGTGTACGGATTTAGAATCAGCTGTTATATATGGATCGAAATCCGTACAGTACTAATTTTGATAAATAAATACCATATGAACGATCCATTGCTTAGAATTGAGATATAAAACGATAAACACTAACCTTTTCGATCGACCTTCAGGAAACTACTTGCAAATATCACTGAAATACGCTTAACAAACTGAAGTAAATCCGAGAGATTTTCTTAGAAAATCGTTAAGAACGCAACCGATTGACAGAAATGCCCGACACGTGTTAAGGTTTTTATTTTTCTTATTTTAATTGCATGACATTCTGCTTAATTGTTGACGTAAACATTAAGCTAATGCATGAATGAACATGAATATGTATTCATGTATAATATTTACATTGATATGATGCATATAAAAAAACAAATTCAACAGGGTGTACGGATTTCGGTGCTGTACGGATTTCGGTCCCGCACGGTACTCTGTGCTAATCTGAGTTATTTCAAAATGGGAATCCACAAACAACTTACTCAGAAACTATACCCGATCTCAACAAACTCTACCGAATTCAGAACAGCTGAACTACTCGGTAAGATTTTGGCATTTCTATTTAATTGTATTAAGCGACTTTATATCGAGCTCTTTTCTAGAATTGCAACATGTGAATAATACAGAACAAGTTTTAAATTGTTCTATAGTCAAATTGGATTTGAAAGGAAGGTCAAACTACCAACGAACAGCTCAGCCGCTCTGAACCCTTCAAGTATGAACATTATGCTTTCCCTAAGCGGTCCCTCCATAGAGGTAACTCTAAGACAAGTAGGTCCCGAAGAAACGTGCTCAACTTTTTGGCTCACCTCTGGTACTATCTTCGGTCCCAAGCTTGTCGAATCACCCCTCGAAACATAGGAAAAACCAATAACCCCTCATTTTATCTGTCAAACTTTCATAGCGAATCAAAACAAACATTGCGTAGTACTAGAATTTCGACTAGAATAGGGTTCGTTAATCGTTTGCTTGGGACCAATAGGCTACTAAAGTGGTGAGCCAATTTAAAATCGTTAGTTTCATATTGATTGTTGGTCCCTCCGCGTTCTGCCTCGGTTAACCCAAAACCCTAAAACTGATTCGAAGATTATAATATAGAGAGTATAAAATAAAATGTCCACCTGCACTGTATTGTCCATT